TCTGGTTTGAGGCGACTAGCACCTTTAGGACTATCCTTTAATTCGTCTTCTGGCTTTCTTTTGATGCCTGCACCCACCGCGGCTCCTGATATACCCTATATTTTACCACTTTTACTATCTATTTACTATGGTTTTTATATATATTAATAAAAAATTTCGACCAAAAGAGGTACTTTTTTCGTATTTGTAGATTTTAAGGTCTTAACAGGTTTTATCATCAAAATAATATAAAATGGAGCAAAAAGAGTGTTATCTATGATTCAGCTACTCATTCAAGTCAAAAGAACCAAACCAAGTCGTTTTATCTTGAAGATAATGCATATTCTCAAACTGGACAAAACGTATATGCCAGAAGTTCGCTGATGAACGGAGGATCAAATCAACTTGGAATTGAACGAAACTTAGTATGGAGATATCCCTTTGAGTTAGATTTCCAATGAAGTTGGAATTTCATCAATTGGAGCTGTACTTTAGAAGATACACTAGAAACACTTAGGACATGTCAAGCTGCCTTCGAAGTGAAGTGAGTGCACAAGGAAGCCAAGCACCGGGCCGTCCATGGGCCGATGATCCAGACCTTTTCCGACCTTCTAGAAGCACCATAGAAGCCTCAAATACCGGTCACGCAATCCGACCGGTATTGTGACCGGTATTGCCTCAGTTTCGACCAAAAAGACGTTTTTGCCCGAAGAAGCCCTAGCCGACTTAAAGCCCTATATATACTTGCTTTTAGCCTCTCTAGGAACTTAAGCAGCCGGCCATAACAGCCTAAATCAATACCTAAACATGTATTTTATTTTTCTCTTGTTCTTAATGCATATTTGATTCTAAAAYCCTTTYAGGATAGATTYACTTTGCCCTATTGCGAAGAGATGAGATCTAACTCCTTACGCTTTGTAGATCAACGATTTATCTTTATGTTTATGTGCTTTACTCTTGCTGCTACGTGTTGCAAAACATGTTAGAGTATTTGCTTTGATTTGATTTCTATGCACTTTCTTAATTCTATACTTTTACATACTTAATCGTTTAGAGTTTCATACTAGAATTGATTCTTCATCTTTATTTATAAACAAAGCACGAACTGGCTTAGCTACCCAGGGGTTAATATTAGGTTGTTATACTCTCCAAAAGCTTGTTATATCTCCGGACCTAGTATTCGATGAGTTAGACATCTTAACAATTTGATAGGTTAGTTAAGGAGTCTAGTGAACAATCAATCTTGATCATAAAGCATGTTTTCACCTTATAATAACCTGCGATAGTTGAGTCTATTAGGGTAGAAAACGTAGAAGGTTAGTTACGTCACGACAGTGGGATGACCTTACATTAGTGATATGAGTTCTAGCACAACTAGTCTTAAAACCCTAAATCGATTTCTTATGTTTGCATATGTTTTGTGAATTGCTTGATTTCTCATC